TCTAAACACAAAAGAGATCAAAACATCAAAACAAGAAAATATCGTAAATCAAAAAAAGGTTTACTGTTATTTAGTTTGGTTCAAAACCTACAAAATCTTCATTGCTTTCACTGTAATTTATTTTGTTATTAGTTATGTTTTTAAAAGAAAAAAAACTACTATTGTTATAAATAACTCATTCAATTGAACTAAACTATGCATGCCTATTTAAATATATTTGCACATGGCTTATGTATATCGTATATACATATATATTATTCATACCTTCGGTGTATAGGACGCAAGCAGATTTTGACATCAAATTTTGGGGTAAAAAAGTGCATGTTATACACGGAAAACTACGGTATTACTTGACATTTCTAGACATATTCATCATACTAACGTAATGACATGCCTCCTCTAGCACAAAAACACGTAGATTAAAATGTTAATATATACAGCTTACAATAATATAAATAAAATTGTACAATGGTAAGGCAGAAATAATGACAATAAAAAAGTAAAAAAAAATGGGAAGAGAGATTGCCGCGTACGTAAAAGAGCTAAAAATATTTGGATACAAGAATAAAAAAAAGGAAAAGAAACGTATTACGTTGTGAAGGTTACATAACTTCTAGCTTTTTATCATTCTTAATCATACTTAACAAACAATACGTTTACTTCCCAAATAATTGAAATAAAAATATTCAAGGCGTCATTATGGGTCAAGAAAGATCATGCATTTGTTAAGCAAAACGCTACACAATGAGCTATTTGTGTTGTGCCACCACTAATATCGAGGCCCAATTTTTAGCGTTATAAGCCGTAGTTCCACTGGGGGTGAGGGGTGGGGGGTGTTGTTTAGTCATAATTATATTTTAAAAAGGATAACTAATTATTGGACCATGCAGTAGGATGATAAATTAATGTGTCAGCATCAAGGAACGACTAGTTTCTGAAATTGTTTGACCTTTACATACAACGTTATTTGTAATCTTGACCAGTATCTTTCTGACCAAATTACGCATAACGTTATAATTTTTATGTTTCAAGCACACTCACCATTTCAGTGCTTAACTTATTCTTACACTTTTTTTTAGTTCTTTAAAACCAAAAATACGTATTGAAACACAAAACGTAAAATAATGGATAAAGGAACACGAAGTGTGACTAACAAGATTGTCAAGGCGAATTTGAACGCGTATTTAGCGTTTTTGTTGTTGAACGCGCACTTAGCGTTATTGTTGTCAAATATTGATTTCTTCTACTTTAATTATGATATAAGAGAATCAAGAAGCTTTTTTCCATCTCAGTCGATGGGTTTTGAAATTAGCAACTCTTTTCTGTTCATTAAACGTCTGTGCAACGGTTTTACAATAACTATAACAAATTATCTGTAAAAAATAGAGAAAGTCACTTGGACGAGCGTGATATCACTTTTGTGTGTGTGTTTTCTAGCGACAGTACGTCGCAAACATATCTCCTCGAAATATGACATACGTTTTATGCATAGCAGAATAGAAAATGAAACAAGAATCAGGTCGAAACGAGATATTGTGACAGGTGGAGAACGCTCATATGTTAATTATTAGGCAAAAATACCTTAAAACTTTATATACACGTTACTGATTGGGAAAAAACAAACAGAAAAACTACATGTTACTGATTATTGAAAACAAAACAAGAAGATCTAAATGTTACTGACTGAAGATAAAAACAACAGAAAACTACATGTTACTAATTAATGAAAACAAAACAAGAGGATCTAAATGTTACTGACTGAAGATAAAAACAACAGAAAACTACATGTTACTGATTATTGAAAACAAAACAAGAGGATCTAAATGTTACTGACTGAAGATAAAAACAACAGAAAACTACATGTTACTGATTATTGAAAACAAAACAAGAGGATCTAAATGTTACTGACTGAAGATAAAAACAACAGAAAAACTACATGTTACTGATTAATGAAAACAA